TGGCACCAACGGTCTTGACACTAACAAGGTCCTTGAAAGATTGGATAACAATCTGCTTTCCAGCTCCAAGCTCAATAGTAAACACATCTTGTTTTGAGCCAACCTTCTCGTGGGTCACAGGGTAGTTGTCAAGCTTCTCTGAGTCCAGGTCAGCATTGGAGATGCCATCCAAGAGGTAGCTGCCATATTCACCAACCTCCAAAACACTATCTCCAATCTGGATAGCGGTAGATTCAATGAACGAGTACTGGTAGCGAGCCTTGGTCCTGATGTGAATTGCCAATCCAGTACCATGATCAAAAGATGGGCTGCTAACAAAAACCAAATCACACACTCCATGAAAGTCAAACCACTTTCCATCCCATGTCTTGAAGTGGGGGTCACCAGTGCCAGCTCCATCGCCAACAACAACGAAATCACCAGCTCCACCTCGAGTCAAACCATCAGCACAAGGAGTGATATGAACGGTCCATGAATGAAGGGTAGCCGAATCAACTGCTGAAGTATCTGTGATAACAAGTGTCCACTCGCCTGCTGAATTCTGGCCACGGAATGGAGCAAGAGGCGTCTGTGGTTGAACATGAATGCCCGGTGTGTTGCATTGAGGATCATTATAACTAGTACCAAAAATAGGAAGAGTGCTTGAATCATCAAAAACGACATCAAGTCCCGCCGCACCAAAACAATTATTCGTGAACAGGTCTGCCACATGGACAGGAGGATCAGACCCAGGACCATCGACATCAAGGCCAACATCAATTTGAATTTCATCTGCAGTCCAGGAATGGGAGATGTCCACTTCAATGTCCACGTCACAGATAACAAAGTCGGCATCAACTGTGATGGTGTGGGTATCCGTTCCAAAGTCAGGGAACTCCTTGTCAATAATTCCAGAGGTGTAGGGTATACTTGCGGAATGAGAAATCGGCATGTGGGCGACAAAGCCAAGTCCAATCAAGGGGAGCTTTGAGAACATGGTGGCTTGAGTTAGAAACTTTGTCTGTTAAGTGATGCGTAGGAGAGCCCAAAGCGAGACGACAGGTGAGAGAGAGATGGTTGGATAGTTTCTGTCGAGCAGCACTAAAGTCCACACGGTTATGTACCTTTCAAGAGACGAGGTGGAGATTTGATGCCACGATGCCACAGTGAAATTTCTTTCGCAAGCAAATAATTGTGAGAGAAAAAGGGGCTGGTTTGTTGTGCTGGTCGGAATGGGCATGGTAACTAGCTCTACCGGTGCACACTGATTTGTCTTCTTTGGATTCATTCACGGTTGTTGGAACATGGGCAACTCTTTTGCTGTTACTGGGGCGCAACAGCAAAACTCTCGCTTACTAATGCCATTATGTTTGCTCTCTGCACTGGGCAGCACTGTCGGTGGTTGTGGGTGGGGGGCTGTGAAGCTAGGGCAGTACTCGAGTGGTACCGTACAATAAATGCGCGAACTCTGGCCATTCTCCCCACCGTCTGACCCAAATTACGAATGGCTTATATCCTTTGAAGTACCGCTCAACAATTCTAAGTAAAGGCTTAATTAAAAAAGCTAGCGGGAGTGTCACTGTTTATGCGAATAAGAAGCCCTTTGGACCGCGCTTGACGCACACAATAATACGTCAATTAACAAAGATTTGTGTCACGAGTTCATTGAGTTAACTCTCTAAATCCAAAAAAGACTCTTCTGAGTAGAAAGGCTCATGAGACAAATTTGGAGATGGAGCTGACTGAAAACATCTCAGCCCTTTCGATGCAGGATACCGGTACCGTAAGATCCCCCAGAACAACCAATAACCAATGACACAAGTCAAGAGAGGTGAGTAAGCACCCCCCCGACTGGATACCCATGCGGAACCAAAGCTCAAGCCGCAATCTTGGTCTCTGTTCTTTGGTTTCCTTCTTCTTGGCATCGATCACAGGCACACAAGAGGGCCATGGCTTCATCTTTGGCGGGCTGGTCACCCTTGTTTTCGGGTCGTCGAAACTCGAGAGCCTCCTCGTAGCCTTTGGGGCTTCCAGCCAACGGCGTGACAGACTGGATCAAATCGACTCCCCATTCATCGGTCAGTATGTATTGGAGGATGGATCCTGCCATTCCCACGCCAACTTTGGGAGATAGTTTCGAGAGTGCTGTCAAGCCAAACGTTAGCCTGGCACTCCAATTCTTGTGATTGTCATATCCAGGTAGATTCTTCCATCCGGCCAAAAACCCACCCCACATGGACGGATCCAAGCGAAAGAATCCAGCAAAGAAATGCTTGAGCTGGTTCACATTCAGGGACATGAAAAACTCCCCACCAAAGACGGCAAAGCTTCTCTCTTTTGGGGGTGATATTGGTTGCCGAGAGTTTTAAGTAACAAGTGAGCTACAAACCCATTCATGCAATCAGACAGACTGTCAGTCACACAAGCCACACTTACGACGAATCGCCTCCGGTGTCCAAATTCTCCCCAAGATGCGTGCTGCCGCGGCATCGGGATCCAAGGATTCGTTGTTTTTGTTGTTCAGTTCGGCGACAATTTGCTCGGCGACATCCAAGTTGCTGCTCAGTGCGCGTCCCACTTGATATCCCGTAGATGGATGAACCAACCCCGACGCGGCCCCAATCGGTACAATTCTCTGTCCTGCCCGTGGCAAACCTCCTCCCATGGGGATGTAGCAAAATTCTTCCTCTAAAATCTCAGTAATTTCCACATTTTGACTCTTCATTCGCTCCGTCAAGCGCCTCTTGCATTCCTCAAAGGACATGGCCGGGTTGGCCACGAGCGACGTTTCTTCCAAGAAAATGACATCTTGGGACAGAGGCATGACGTAGTTGAAGGTGGGTTGTTTAATCTCGTCGTCTTGGTTGCTTTGCCGCCATTTTTCGGAGCGAAAGTCAAAGAGTGTCATTTTGGATCGATCGTAGTCTCCGACATGACTTTCGGTGACGCCCGCACCAGTTACGTGGCATTCCACTCCATAGGCAATCTGATAGCCTTCTCGGTCTCGCTGGTCTCGAATGGTAAAGGACGACTCGGCGCCGGTCCCATCCACGACAATCTTGGCTCTGATTTTTCGACCGCTCTCTTTAAGCGTCAATTCCGTGAAGTCTTTGTGAAAGGTAATGGATCCAGCTGGCAAAAACATGTTGGGATTGATGGCTTTTCCCAACACGTCTTCTGGAATGACTGTGTAGTTTCTGTTGTCGTCGTCGTCGTCGCCATAGAAAATGCTCTTTAATCCTTCTCGAGATACTCTCACATACTCTCGTCCAATGGATCGTCGATAGTCGCCTTCCTGTTGTTGGTTGTCGTTTGCATTGGGATTTTCGAGAACCCCATCGTCGAATTCTCCAAAGAAACAGTCCGTGTCGTCCCAATGAATATCGACGCCAAGGTCCATCAAACCCGTGACACCTCGATCGGCATAGAGACGATCCAATGTCGCCCATTCTTCGGTCCAACACCCATAGTTGGGGGTCCATCGCTTGGCGGCATATTTGCTCAGCAGAACCACGTTGACATTGCTATCGTTGGCCGTCAGCAGCGCCGCCAGTGAACAAGAAGCAGGACCGGATCCAATCACTGCAACATCGTAAAGAATTTCTTCTTCTTGCGTTTGACTTCGACTGAACAACGCATCAAGATTATTTCGTATTCTGGTGAAGGGTCTCGTTGGTGCGAATGAGCAGCTGCTTCTTGATCCGATAACAATAAGTAGCACAATCCAGCCGCAGATTGGAATCCTCATCTTGTTGTCACTTCAATCGAGTCGGGGTCAAAGAGGGCGTCAAAGAGAAAAATGAGTGTTTTTGGCATCACTTTTTTGGCATCTTGTTTGAAAAACACTGACGTCAGTGTGCGTATTTGATAGACTTTCGTCAAGCTCGAATCTTCATTCCTTTAGGTTTCCCATCGATGGGGATGGGGGATGCTGCACTGTGGGCATCGCGAGTGAGAATGGCTGCTACCAGTGCTTACAAGCTAGAAAGTCCCTGGAATGAAGAGAAGTGTCGTGTTGCAGTAGCAAATGGCAATCCTTGATTTGGAAACTTGGAAGTTATTTTGTCAACAGCTGCTTTTCCTTCTGAAAACTCCCGGAACGAAGCTGCGGGGAATACAGCATTGGTAATAATAGAAAGAATGGAGAGGACCATATTACCGGTATGTGGTGTTAGGTTGTCCTCAAAATGAATGCACGGCAATCGTGGGGAGTTCTACACATAAACGACAGCCACATAGCGCTTGTACCGGCCCCAGTGGTAAACAAGCAAAAATGATGTTCGACCTAATCAATTTCAATTGCATCCACGGCAGTAACCCCTGCCTTTTTCAATGGCTTTCGTGGAGCAACCATGGGTTTCAAGGATGCAACGTTCCCATCATCATCGCTACTGTCGTCCAACAAACACACTTCCTCCTTTGGAGTTTTTGCCGGTTTTTTCTTGGGATCTGTCCGACTGGAGAGGGAACCGCCGCTGGCAGAGGCTTTGGAGTACCTTGTATTCGCGGAATGGTTGTTCTCCTTTCCCACGGCCCAGGGCACGGCCGCCTTTCTTGGTAGACTGTCATTGTCGCTATCATCGTCCTCTGACGAGTAGAGTACGTTGATATTGGAAACATTGCCGGAGCTCTCCTTTTGCAATGGTATGTATGGCGGTGGCTTCTTGGCTGCTGTTGCACGCTGCTCGGCTGCTGTCTGGTTGCTACTTTTCTTTGGCGCAACGGAAGTCTCTGAGGCTTTTGCTCGTTTGTTGGAAGATGGCTCTTTACGATCTTCCGCAGCAACGGTAGCCGGCCGTTTTGAAGGATGCGGTGTGCTGCAGTAGGCAATGTAGACATCTCGCGCGATTTTGGGCCCCACTCTTCGGTTGCCCCCCTTTGTTTCCCCTGCATCCAAACAGCAATTGGCCACCAATTCTGCTTGTGTCTTTGGATTGTCGGCTACCTCGTCATATGCTTGCAACAGCAGAGCCGGTGTGGGATAGTCCTGCACGATACTCTGGACTTGCTTGCTTCCGCATATTTGTCGCAGCATGGCACAATGCAGCGCCCCCACGGTTCGAGTTCCTGCCTCTCGATCACGCTTGATCTTGGCATCAAGTTCTTCGTAGGTAATGAAGCGTGATTCGCCAAATGCCGGAACTGGTGGCGTGTCAAAGGTCATTTCTACCAAGGACTCGGGCCGTCGTCGGCGTCGTCGACCCTGCGTTGGTGCATATTGTTGCTGTCGTCTAGCTTCAGGGCTGTGAAAACTGGGCAGGGCGTCATCGGAAAGGCCAAAGGCGTCGGGGAATGCCCGTTGCAATACGCGTCGATGAAATCTTTTCAATGTTTTGACAGTGTCATCCATATGCGATGTAAATACAATTTGAAAGCCAAAGTCGACACGTGTTTCAATCAATGCCATTTGCATTCGTTCCTTGGGTATGCAAGGATGGACGTCCCGTTGCATGTCCCCTTCAATCAAGTAGAGTACCTGTGGTTGTCCCGCATTTTTGAGCCGTAGCCGCTGTTCATTGTAGCGTGTCCCAATAAAACTACTGACCAAATCACTGGTGGATTTGCGTTCAATGATGGTTCCCAACAAGACTTCGACCTCGACAACCACCGTGGTCGTTCCCTGGATTCTATGCTTTCGCATCCCCTGTGTCCAACAGAAAGATAGATGAATCACAGTCCGATCGAGTAGGCCATAAGTTGGGCATCAATCTCGTGAATAGACTCTTCCCATTCTTACCTGTGCCACCCATGTCATGTCACCAATCGGCAAGGACCGTTCTTCTGCCGGAATGCCACTCATGGCGCTGCAATGACAAGGAATGTGAGTGATCCATGGTGATGTAGAGCCCAAGCTACTCACTAGCTAGCCACAACTCACCATTTACTCAAGACGTGTTCACTCTTTTGTTCCCGGTTGTCCACAAGTAGGATGACTTTCCATTCCAATCCACGGGCAATCGGATGCGAGCACTTGTCCATGGCGGTTTGTTTTGCCTTTTGATAGGCCACTTCCTTGGCAGATGGAGCACTACTATTGTCGGTTTTGGCCGCACTCTTTTTGACCCTCTTAGGAGGAGCTGGATCGTCGCCATTTTGTCTTGGCATGAACTGTTGTATGTCCTGACTCTGGACTCCAGTCTTTTTCCCTCGTTTCTGTGGTTTTTCCACCAGAGTTCGTTCTTGTTCTGTGTCGTCGTGAGGAGGACAAATAATGGAAGCGCAATGCTTTCCTACATTTTGCAAGTTCATGGCATCTTTGTAGGTACTGATGGGTTCTTTGGCAGCGGCCAAGGACGCCATGGCCCTGTAAATGGTGCGTTCATAGGTGTCCGAATGAGCATTGTCGTAGCGATCCTTGAGACGATCCCAAGCGGCTTGATTGAATGAGTTTTTGCAAGCTGGTAGCTTTTTCTTAAAGCTGCCTTTCGGAGCTCCTCCCCAGACAGTACTTCTGTTCATTGTCTAATCTGATCGATATCTGCAATGCGATCTGTTTTCTGCTAGCACACTAGTGTTTCGGAACTTCAGAAACAGAAACTTGGACTTGACTCTGGCTTTGCCGACACTAATCCTTGGCTGCACCAGCAATGGAATGACAGTCCACTTGCTGGCTATGCACTGACTGAGTATCTGTTGGTGTTTTGCAGCAAACTTTGATGGACGGAGTGTTTTGTTGCTTCACTCATTCAGCCAGAGAGCCGTTGATTGTGTCATTGCCAGTTTCTGTTTGAAAGCCTTCAGAAAAGCAAGTTAGTCACTGATGATTCGTGACTAAGTTGACCCTTGATCTCGATCTTTTTTAGCTTTGACGATGACACTCAACTCCAACCGACGACCCGTTGACCCGTTGTTACCTACCGTACTTGTTGCCAATTACAGAGACCTCGAGACGACCGCTACGCAACTGGCTTCGATCGACGGCAGCTTCCAGCAACCAAGGAATAGCAGCGCAGCAAATTTTGGCAAAAGAGCACGACAGACCTACAGTATCTACTATACCGTAAAGAGACAACAACACCATGGCACCTAGTAGTAGCAAAGACAGCAGCAGCGACTCGCACTCGGGTCATCCCCAAGTCTCCGATCCAGCGTTAGAGTTTCTGATTGCCGAAATTGTGCGCTACGCCGAACTCTCCTGTCCTCCCGAAGGACCCGACGAAGAGCACTCGATCATTGCCTGTGAAATGGCCGCCGCCAAATTGGAACGCATCGGATACAGCGTCGGATATCGTCTCTGCGAACGATTGGCACAAACCAAAACATTTGGAACGACCGCCGGTGCTTCGGGAAATTCCGCCAAGAAGGATCCCGCCGCCGCCGTGGCAGCGTCGCAATTGGAAGCCGTCAAATTCTTGTGCAAAGAATTCTGGATTGAAGTCTTTCGAAAGCAAATTGACAAACTACAGACCAATCATCGTGGTGTTTTTGTCTTGAAAGATTCCGAGTTACGATGGTTGACACGCTTCCCCAACAATCAAGAGAATGCCCGGGTTACCGCCATTCAGTTGCTCGCCTTTCCGTGTGGAATGCTGCGGGGGGCATTGGCCAATTTGGGGATTCCTTCCGTCGTTTCCTGTGATTTCTTGACGGATCAACAAAATATGGCGTCCTGTTCGTTCAATGTCAAAATCAAATAAGTACAGTACAGTTCTATAGGACGATACCATGCCTATAAGGAAACATCCGTGCCGTACCGGTACACACAACATGGAAGAAGCAAGCTGCCCAGCAAACAAAACTGTGGAAGCCACGTTATTTCTTGAATAATTAATCACACTGCAGAGGGAATGTGCAATCAACTGGCTACACGTACAGGCAATTTGTAATCAATAAAACAACAAACCCTACTTGGATATTCGCTGCTTGGCATATCTAGCTTTCCAAGTTTGTTCTGATACTGCTGGCTAGAGTACCGTTGGGGCCAGAGAGTTGCTATGGACCGGTTCACACTGCTTCCTCAGGGAACTCATCCCAAAGCTTCAAATCCAACAACTACATGTACTGAACCGATACTACAAGGATGCTTGCACAAGTCAGCGGTCGACTAGCTAGGTACATGTACTGTTCAGCAATTGTTGCCTTGCTCGTGGGCATGCTCTGACCCAATGATAATGACTCAAAGTCGGCGCCAAAAAATTCAAATAGTCGAGTCTCAAGACAGGTTTTCAAAAATTGCCCTGCCAAAGACTACTTTTTCACTGGGGGAACTGAACATTGTTCGGCTTTCTTGGCGCCTGATCGTGTGGTATGCAGAACCTTGCTACGAGGTGCATCTTCTACATTGCATCCCCTTCGGATGCTATTCTGCCTCTCGATGGCTCATCGCTGGCTAAAAGTACTGGTATGGCCAAGGCTTGGGAACCTGGAATGAATTCAATCCCCAGAGGAATCCTGTCGGGAAACCTGTCCTTTTGGTGTTTCTGTGGATGGCGGCATGCTGGCACCCAAACCTTGCCACAGGCAATGCCAACAAAGCTCAATGTTCCTATTCCCAAATGATGTTCACCACTCTATCCCGCACTCAACTCTACCTAGATGATGTAGATCTACGTCTATCCATCACACGATCACTCAAGCCCTTGTCCCTTTTGCAGGTCCCAGGTTTGTCCCCCCTGATTATCTGCAGGCCCCCTTTATAAAATAGCTAGTAGAGCGGGAAAAGATAGGTACATGGACAAAGCGTGTACGACTGTACAAAGGTCTCTCCCCCCTTGGTTAAGGGTTGGTTTCTCCCTGCTCATAACCAGTTAGGCAGCCAACAAAAACAAATGAGGCGGGGATATCACAGAACAAAATCTACAAACTGAGAAGATGTCATTGAATATTTGGAGAAGAGTATTACTACATCAGTAGTCTAGAAGATGGAGGATTCACAGCAGAACCATACCTATCTCCGTTATGAATGTGCCGATACGTTTGGATTGGTGACCAGTGCCGGTGGTGCCAGTTCGACTCGAGTCCCTCCCTCGGACAAGACATTGGCCCTGTTGACGGATGCCAAGAGCAACAACGTCCTGTTGACGACGGGTGGAAGCTATTGCCAGTGCTTTGATGTAAAGACGGGAATCCTGACGGCCAAGTTGGGTCATGCCGAGTTTACGGGAGTCGGAACGGGACGAGCCTTGAATGCCAGTCAAGTCCTTTGCTTGGATGCTGCTACCTCTAACACTGGTACGGCACGGGTCGCCACTGGATGGATCGATGGATCGGTACGAGTCTTCGAACTGCCAACATCCGAATTGACTTCTTCTTCGTCGTCTTCTACGGCGTTTAGTTTGCTGGACAATGAGGACGACCAGGAACGACCCGAACCATTGACATTGAACGGTCATGCTCCAGCTCCTGTATCGGCCATTGCACTGCAAAAAAACACGCAGGAATCCTTGTGGTTGGCCAGTGGAGGAAGCGATGGAACCGTCATTGTATGGGACTTGATTGCCGAATCGGGGCTCTTTCGATTGCTGGGCCATCACGGTGCCATTACACAACTACACTTTTTTGTCTTGACTGGAAAAGAACAACCACAAGTACTTCTCACATCCAGTCTCGATGGACTCGTCAAGGTTTGGGATTTGCAGGCACAATGCTGCGTACAAACCATTGCCAATATGAGGGGGCAAATTTGGGCATCGGCACTCTTATCTACGACAACAACAAGTCAAGAAGAAGAAACAGACGGAGCCAGACGACATCGACTCTTGGCAGGAAGCGTGGATGGACAGGTCCGAGTTTGGAACCTACAAGCACCAGCAAACAACAACAGTAGTGAGGAGAAAAGTAAAAACGACGACTGGTGCCACGACATGGGATTCTTGGAAGCACCAAACCAACATCTCGCTACATCGTCTTCCAAATCAACCACACACACTGTCACCTCCAAGGAAAAAGTGACATCCATTCAATGTTACCGTGGACGATACGTGGCCATGCTGCAAGCCAATGCCAAGGTCATTCATGTGTATGGCATGAGATCCACAAAGGATAGTCTCCGCAAAAAACAACGACGAATCAAACGACGCCAAGAAAAGCAATCCAACCAAAGGAACAAACAGGCAAATAGTAAAGACGACACTACCAACAACAAGAAACGAGGCATCTTGGATGATGACGAAGACGATGAGAAACATAATGACACTACCACCAATGATAACCAAGACAGTACTACATTGGATCCAGAACAACTCAAGGCATCCGACGAAATCGAGTACCTTGGAACCATCAAGGCCAGCCACAAGGTCAAGGCATTCGTTTTCGTGCCACTCAGCAACAAGAAGCAACAATTGGTTCAAATTGCTTGTGCCCTTTCCACCAACACGATCGAACTGTACGCGCTACCACGTAGCACCCCACAACATCAACAGGTTCCGTCGGAAAAAATTGCCAACTTGACACCGTTGCCAGGACATCCCACAGGTGTGCGATCCATTGCTCTCAGTTCCAATGACGAAATGGCCGCTACCGTCGCGAAGGGAACCTGCAAGATTTGGAACGTGCTCAATCGTTCCTGTTTGCAATCGGCAACGTTGGAGCCCATGACGGATCCAAGAAAACAACAACAAAAGTCTTCTTCTTCTTCCTTTCAAGGACTCTGTGCGGTCTTTCTTCCAGGGAATACACATGTACTAGTGGGAACCAAGGAAGGGCATTTGCTGGTACTGGATTCCGCCGCGGCAGAAATTGTCTATTGGGAAGAAAAGGCACACGACGATGCCATTTGGAGTATGGATGTCTGTCATTCGAAACCGACATCCGTGGGTGATGCCGCCCCCAATACGTCCATCATCACGGGATCAGCCGACAAAACGGTCAAGTTTTGGACATTGGAACAGCAAGGAGAAGATGATGGCAGTGACGACGACAGCAGCAGTGATAATGATGTCTTGTATCCGGGTGCTCCCATGATTGTACAAACCAGAGCTCTCGAAATGACAGACGAAGTCGTGGCCGTAAAGTTCTCTACTGCCAATTACTTCCAAGGTGCAGCAAGCCGTCGCCTCGTGTTTGTTTCGACGCTGGATTGCACCATTAAGATCTTCTTTGAGGATTCTCTCAAGCTCTTTCTGAGTATGTACGGGCACAAGTTGCCAGCATTGGCCGTCGATGCGAGCGACGATGACACCTTGCTCGTGTCGGGATCCGCCGACAAGACCATCAAGATTTGGGGATTGGATTTTGGTGATACACACAAGACGCTTCACGGCCACGAGGATTCGGTGACCGACGTTCGCTTTGTGCGAGGGACGCACAACTTCTTCTCGGCCAGCAAGGATTCCACTGTCCGATTCTGGGATGGAGACCGCTTTGAAATGATTCTGGTATTGCGAGGCCACAGTGCCGAAGTCAATAGTTTGGCAGTCAGTAAGACTGGTGCCTTTTGCTTGAGCGGTGGGATGGATCGCATGGTTCGTGTATGGGAACGAACACGGGATATTGTGTTCTTGGAAGAAGAACGAGAACGCGAGTTGGAACAAATCTTTGACAAGGAACCTGGTAGACGAGAGGAAGGCGGTACGGCGGCTATTTTGGATCGAAAGGGACGGAACGAAGACGACGACGACGATGAGATGAAGGATAGCGAACCACAAAGTGAGGCGGCAGTCAAACAGACCCTCATGAGCATATCTGCTGGGGATCGACTGTTGGAGGCTCTCGAACTGGCTGACCAGGAGCTCCAGGCTTCCCGCAGCAACAAATCCAAGGGGGCCCGGAGCTTCAACCCAATGCTTCTGGGAATGGAACCACCCCAGTATGTGCTTTGGGTGGTACGGTCCATCAAGTCGGCCGATCTGGAACAAGCCTTGCTGGTGCTACCACTGGGCCATGCGGAGCGTCTCCTCTATTACTTGGTGCTGCTCTTGAGATCTGGCCACAGCTCGGTGGAGCTTTGCTGTCGCGCTTCCATTTTCACTGTCAAGACCTTCCAAAAGCAGGTAGGTACAGGCGTTGGTGTTGGTATGCCTGTTTTCGTGGGGATCTTGTGCCTTGTTGCCGGCTTCTTTGCTATGACGATTTAGTTTGCTTTACCTGTATGACGTGACAAGCAAACGCTACGCTGTTACATACAACATGATTACCAAACATCTATACCCAAATTTCTGAGCAATGATTGGAGCCGGCGAAGTGACCTCCTGCAGCACGCTTACTTGCAATGCCTGACTGACGCTTTTGTTCCTTTCCTTTGTTGTTTTGCTTTGTCTGCTCATATAATAGCTCATTTTGAATCAAGGCAGCAATGCACCTTTGCTTCGAGAGCTCCGTCGGTTGGTCCACATGCGACTGCAAGAATGTCGCGACACCGTGGGATACAACCTGGCTGCCTGCCGCATGGTTGGTCGCATCGCCAAGGAACGGAGAGAAAACAGAATGATGGCTGCCATGCCCTCTACAGATATTTGGGCTGGTCTAGGGTTGGGTTCGGACGTTGCCGCTGCGCTGGAAGGAAACAGCAAGAAGGGCAAGAAAAGGCGCTAGTTAGGTAGTTTGGGCAGAACTGTACAGTAGAAATGTGATGATAATATGAAAAGTCTTCTATTGGACGTCTCAAACAAGCAGTGTAGACTAGCTAGCAATGTCAGTGTTACCTTCGTTTTCTTCTCGGTTTTACTTCGATAGCCGAGGAACCATCCCCCTTCCCGTACGGTACCGTACGGTACGTACTGGACGGTACCGGTATGCATGGCTGCCTTTCTTGCGTGGGTTGGAAGTTGGAAGATTGCATGCTACTCGGCCGATAAAGTCTGAGAATTTTGAAAAAGGTGATAACTCCTCAGAATGAGCAGTCAGGATTTTTGAATCAGTCGGATGGTTTGGGTTAGGGTGAAAGTAGAATTCTCAACTTGATCTTCAGATTTGTGTAGAAGCCAGTAGGTTTCAGAATTCTCAACTTAATCGGGGGAGTAGCATGGTTTGCGCTCAAATCTGCTCCAACCACAGGAAAAGGAAGGAATTAAAAGTAAATCCAGACACTAAGTCTCAGCTCATTGACGTGACGTACATAGATGTAAGAAGACCTAGCTAGCGAAGTTCAATGACTCTGAGTGACTTGAGCACCCACCACAACGGCAAACCAACACAAGAACAAAGCACAACATCCAGCGCGCAATCTGTCAAGCAGTTGACTGTATGTACATTGGAAGAAATGAGGCGTGTCTGTGTCTTGGTTTGCACACATTTCCTTAGTGCATTGCTTGTACTCCTGGCTTGCTACCGATGGAAGGATCTTCTACCAAGTTATGAAAGTGAAGGCTCCCTGTGGTCCAGGTCAAAGTTGTCCAATGGCACCGCATCTTCTGTTTCCACTACGAGTACAGCCACAACCACGTTTACTCCTACATTTCCTCCTGCTTCTTCATCCAAGGAACTAGATTTCAGTGCACCTTCACTTTTTGACCCTTCCACGGTGAATCGGGTCTATTGGATGCATGTGCCAAAAACGGGGGGCAGCATTTTCGTTGCATTCTTCTTCCAGTTCTGCCCAGAGACCCTAGCAGCAGAGCGGGCAGCTATTGTCCCAGGACAGCAAATAAACAAGGACCATCTATATGACATGTGGTTGCTGAGACACTACGCACCGGAAAAATGGTGTAACAACCACTTGACGTTCTATAACATGCCTTGTCCAGGATGCCATTATCCATACGAAGAACGACCCAACGAGGAATTCTTTTCCATGACCATGTTTCGTGATCCAACCGAACGACTTTGGAGTGCATACCGATATGGTCACCATGGCAGTTGGCAGCATGACAGCAATTCCACATTTGACGAATATATACGGGAACCCAATATTATGAACTGCCAGCTCAAGATGGTGCTGGGCCATCACTGCTACAAACAACATCGACAAGAAATTGAGCACATGGGACCGCTCGATGTCTCACTGGCCATTGAAAGAGTCAGCCAACCTCGTTTCTTTTTTGGGATCACAGAACGATGGGCCGAAAGCTTGTGTCTCTTTCATCGCTGGTTTGGAGGGAGTGTGATTGAAGATATTGAGTTTGTCAACAATCGAAAGGGAAGAACGCAGCCTCCGGGCAACTACCGTGATGTTGTTCCTCCACACAAAGAGCTGGAATGGTTTGAAGGTATAATGCCAATATTTGAAGAGAGGCTCAAAGCAGCAAACTGCTTGGGCTACTCTCCACCACCGTAACTATAGAAACCCAAGGTTTCTCTCTAGTAGTTATTTTGCTTTCCCACAGTGTCGGATGGGTTAGCAACGTTTGGATGATGCAACATCCAAGTCCGGTACACTGTAGGTTCTATACGGCAGAGTTTTCGGCAGAGTACGGTGGCTGGCTAGTGTAGCATCCTTCCTTCCCGAAAAAGTCGCTGGGCTTCTCTAGCAATGTGATGATAATGTGAATGGACTTCTATTGGCCGTCTATCGATTAGTCATGCAGTGCTTTGTTTTCTTCTCTATTCTACTTTTGGTAGTGTTCTTATTAGTTAGTTGATTGCTTAATCAATGACCGAGGCAGCCCCGTAGGCGACGGTGATATCGGGATCGATATGAGTATTCAACTGTGACTCTGGGAGTGCCTCCCGCACAAGGTCTCGTATTTGTGGCATTCGCGTAGTCCCTCCCACCATGACGACTTCATCAATTTCGTGTGTCTTGATATTCAAATCCTGTAGCAATCGTTCGACGGGTAGAATGGATCGTTGAAAGAGCGGTTGCGAGACGGTCAAGAACTCACTGCGCGTGAGCGTCAATGTGGTTTTGGTCAATGCCTGGCAAAAGGTATCGACCATGTACAACGGATTTTCGTGACTGGGTATGGATGTCATGCCCGGTGGCAACCGCAAACAGTGTTTTTCCAATGGGGTTTCTTCCGTGTCTTCCATGTTGTCGTCGTTGTAACTATTGGAGAGTTGAATTTTGATTTGTTCTCCTAGTGTATGAAAAGACGAGACGGTACAGAGAGGATGTTCGAGAATGGCAGGACAATGCGACGACAATTCCTGTTCGAGATCGAAATGTTGTGGTGTATTTTCCAAGACTTGTTCCAACTGTCTCAGTACGGCATTGACGTTGTCCACCATGTTTTGATTTTCACTCGTACCATTGGCGGATGATGATGACAACCAGTAGTGGGCAATAGCAGCATCAAAATCGGCTCCCCCCAATCGATCGTCTCCCTCACTGCCCATGACATCGACGAATCCTTCACTGACATGCAAGAGTGAAACATCGAGTGTCCCACCTCCAAAATCGTACACGACGATATAATCGACGCCTTGTTTTTGATGCAATCCATACGCGAGAGCGGCGGCAGTGGGTTCTTCCAGAATGCGCGTCACCTTGACGCCACCTTGCGCAAATGCCGCAACGGTGCGTTGTCGTTGGAGCGTATCGAATTTGGCGGGTACACAAATGACGGCGGCATTGACATTTTCGTGTCCCAACTGCGTATGGGCGAGTTGTAAGAGCGCCGATACGACATACGAGCCGACTTGTTGTGGTGAAATGTGCATCCATTCGGTGGGTTGATGCGAGTGAGCGTGATGGGGGACACGAAACACGACGCGTTCGTCTGGTTGTTGTGGAGTATTAGTGTCGTTGTCATTGTCATTAGTAGTGTCATTGTCTTCTTCTTCTGGTTGAATATGAATCGCGAATTCGACTTCGTGTTGCAATTCTTGAATGGCTCTATCGTTGGGTGGTCGTCCCAAGATGCGTTTGGCATTGTAGAGTGTATGATGAGGATGAGAATCGATTCGTTTCTTGGCGGCTTGTCCCACGACGACCTGTGACGGATGCGGCACGAGCAAGGAGGGTGTCTTGGATTTGGCTCCGACGGGTCGTTCGGTGGGTTCCAAAAAGGACACGACCGAGGGAATGATAGGAGATTGTGTGAGTGGATCCTTCATACAGTCAATAATTCCAACGCCCTTGCTGGGTGCTTGGACGCAAATGACGGAATTGGTGGTTCCCAAGTCGATTCCCGCTACTTGGGCGCGACCGCGAAATCCCATCTTGGCCATGACGCCACATACCAAAATGGCCACGCCAATCAAGGAGGGCAACAGAGCTTCAATGCCACCCGAAGGACCGTCGGCGCCGTGCTTCTGTTTGGATCTCGATTGTTTCTTGGGTTTGCGGCGGACAAACGGAGATTTAGTAGTTGTTGTTGTAGTAGTAATTCCCACGGCTTGGGTATACGAAGCATAGGATTCTCGTTTGCCTCGATGACGACGACTTGTCATTTCTTTCTTCTTCTTGTCTCCTTTTGTTGTTGTTGTTGTTGTTACAGTAGTACCATTGCTGACTCCATTATTGCTACTAGTAGAATTGGATTCTGTCAGTGCCTTGGCATTGCTATTGTTGTCATCAGAGGTACCTGGTGGGGACGCGGGAGACTCGGGAGCATTGGCCGTCGATGCTTCTGATTGACTCTCCTTCTTGGGCTTGCGGCACATGATTGCTTGACTGCTTCCTTTCTTGACTGGTAACAGTTCCAGCAGATTGTTGGGTTGTATTATGAAAGGATGATGAATGGTGCTCTTTGGTTTGATGGATGGAAGCAAACGTTTGTCTTGTTTTGTTGCCTCTGCCACGTGTTGGTGCTTCAAAATGGCACATGGCAAAATTTGACCGTTTCGAGGTTGAAGTCCAAAAGCGGAACACTTTTGATGGAGCGTCCGTGACTCACTCGCTATTAGGGTCTGACACAAAGCCGGCAGAGCTAATACGTTTTCTCTCTGTTTTGATTGGAGGTTGCAGCTTACGTCACCCTTTTTGACGGAACAATTTGGAACCCTCGCTCAAAAAGAGAAAACGATGAGCAAGCAAGTGATGTGGTGTCGACAAACCACACTCATGCTTCATGCAGAACTGATGCAAGTTGTCGACCCATCGCATCGATGGAACGATCAAATTAGAGAGAGCACCAACTCGTGCCAAAGACATCCTGGTTATAGAACTTATCGATACAGTAGATTGGACAAGCTCCGCATCTTCTGGAAAGACTGGAAAGAGTGATAAGGGACTATCTCATTTTTACAAGAAGCAACACCACAAACCAAGAACGCAACACAAACCAACGGATTCAGTTCCTCTCACCATTTTCATTTTCAGGCATCATGGGCAATTTCCCGTCTGTTCATTCGGTTCCATCCACGGCAGTGGCACAAGATATCGATCTACTCAAGAATCTATTTCCAAACAAATTCAAGGTAGAAACTACATCCACCAAAAACAAGGACGGCACGGCCACCCTCTTTGCCAATGATGGAAATGTGACACTCATCTTGGTGGCAACACCAACAACAACACCAGTCGCCACGGCCATGGTCATCGAGGCAAACGACTTGAAAGCCGTCATGAAACGACAACAACAACAAACCATGAATGGGAATAATGACGTGGGGGGTATCACCACCGACATCCGACTGCCAGGGGGGTCCATCTTGGTGCTGATCACTCCTGCCATGGTGGGAACGACAGCTGCCAGACAACGACTGGCAGAAATTTTAACGGGACACTGCAACCCATCCAACAATAATAGCATGGATGGTCACAGCAAGAGTAGCTCCCCACGGACCGTCATGGGAGAGGATTCGATGGAGGATAGTCCCATGGTACCAGTCACAACAGCACCCATCCGACAAACTCCAGCAGACAATGACGACGACAATGACGACGACGACAATGACAATAATTGCATCCCACTCCCATGCTTTCCCACATTGGACTTTCGCCTACTGCAACGAAACGGACAAGCCGAAAACTTTACACTCAATGCACGAGAGGGAGTGCCCTTTGAAACAGATCTATTTGCGGGAAAAGTACTGGCGTTGCTGCGACCTACCAACCCGGCACTGGACGATCCCTATTGGAATGAAAAGATTTGGAAACACAAACAGAGGCGAGTAATTATTCAAGTACAGGGGAAATTCAAAGCCGCACCCAAAGGCATTCTTTTTGCGGGAGGGGAAGTGTCGGATCCCATGAAGTTGGGGCTTTTGGCAAAAGGGTATGTACCGTACAAACAAAAACAAGAGCATATCAGTGTTTGAGAATTTTGTGTGTGTGCTGTCTTCTAACATCGATCCTCCTTGGCAAACTACCGGTACCAAACAAAACAGTCTCACCAGGGTACTCCTCAAATTGCTCAAATCCTTCTATCCCACCATTCACACATCCTTTGGCGACAAGGAGGAATTGGCACACATTGTGGTGCCCGCCTATCGATTCTTTGAACGGCTGGTGGTCACCAAACCGGGAGAAACTCTACCGAAAATGGGAGAACCTTTTGACGAATCACCCAAATCCATCAAGGCACGCAAATCTTCGCAGTCTACCGGGGAATGGAACACCACCGACACGTACTCCATGAGCTTTTTCTCCATGTACATTGACTTACCAAGCTGGTCCGTCGTCAACATTCCCATGTCCAACGACATGCCGTTGAGTACCTTTTGGGGCAAGTCTTCCTTACAGATTTGCTTTTATGATCGTGACGCACCCGATGCCGTTGAAAAACATTTACCGCAATACAACAATTACGGATTTGCCGTCAACATTCGACATCTTGGAGCATCCGCAGCTGCAACGAAATCGTCGTCGCAGTCAAAGAAGTCTTCGGTTGTGGATAGGGTTCCCAATAGCGATGATGAAAATGATGTGGAAGACATGACCTCTCGAGAGGATGATGCCAGAGGAAACATTTTGGATTGGACCGAAGCGCCGCTCCGGGATCGGGAGCTCCACAACCACAGCAGCAACAACTTTATGCCGCACAGCGATAGCCAAATTTTTGATGTGGACGAACAAGATGCGGATGAGGTCTCCGTGTTTGACATTAACCAATTCTTTGATGCCGAAGAGTACAGGGAGCCCACCGAGGAATTGGTGGTGGACAAGACTATTTCCGGATCCACCGTGTCTTCCATGCCGCCCGAAGAGCTAACCAGCGTCGACAATCTATGTCCCGCTTGGATGGAGATGCTCGTGCACAGAGGGAATTATGCTCGAACCTACGCATTCAATCTTCCAGAGTCTTCGGACACTGTCTTTCGCAAAGCCGATTGGATGCTCAATCTCTATGGCAGCAAAGGACCCAACGACTGCTTGCCTCTCTCGACTCGTTTGTCTTCCGCAGAGCAGACACGGCGGCATTTGGGGCAACTTATTTCATCTAGCGTTGGAGACGCAAGCAACAAACGGAGACTGGAGACCGTCCGGACGGCGAAAACGCCGTACGATGATCAATTCTTGAAGCGCAAGAAACCGTCCATACCCGAGAAGTCCAGAGTGCATGCCTCGTGCTTTGTTGCCCGAGCTCTCAGCGACCATCACTGGATAGAGGAGTGGGCCAACATTACAGAACGAGGCGTCAACTTTTACCACCCGGAACGAAAAAAGGCAAACCACCGTGTCGGCATCCAGAGCATCACCAAAGTCAACAAACTGGATTCGAACTTGTCTCCAAAGTTTCCCAACTACTCGTTCTTGTCGCTTGAAACATTGGGCAGAACAACGTACCTGATGTTTGCGTCGGAAACTGACCGAGACGACTGGGTGAGAGTCATTTCAAGGCTTGCCAAGCTAGCACCCAGCGCCGTGGACTCGATGGAGACGGAATCTGAGGGGCATGCTTCCACTGCTCTACTCGAGCTGCAAAACCCCAAAGACGAATTCCTACACAAGAGCTCCCTGTGGGACTTTAAACACCGTCGCGTGCTCAACTGCAGACGATTCTCGTTTCGTGCACGAGAGAAGGCGTCTCGACAGGATCCCTTGTCGCTTGCTGAAGATGCCCTTCGTAAAGCCCTGGATCCCAGAAACGAGTCCGATGATGACATTCTGGTTTCCTTCTTGGACAGTGCAGCAAAGCTGAAAGAAGCCAATGTCCACGGGCTTGGGGAAGAGGAGCGCCTTGCGTTCTTCTTGAATGTCTATCACACAATGGTGATGCATGCGTACTTGGTACTGGGTACACCGGCATCCAGTTTTCAATGGATTTCATACTTCAACAGTATTTCCTACCAATGCTCCGATGATATCTTCTCCCTCGCCGAATTAGAGCACTGTATATTACGGTCTCCTATGTCCTACCCCACCCAGTTCCTGTCGAGGTTTGCTATTCCCAAGTCTTCCTACTCATTTGCACTCACCAGGAGTGACTATCGGATCAACTTTGGCCTCAATTGCGGATCCATGAGCAACCCGAAATGTGTTCCAGTTTTCAAGGTGACATCCCTCAATCAACAGTTGAATGATGTGTCACGTCTCTATCTTGCCGCTGCTGTGAAGGTCAAGAAGCGAAGCAATCGAGATGTTGAAGTGTGCTTGCCGCGAATATGCTTGTGGTTTGCGGATGATTTTGGGTCCAGCAACACTGACGTCTTGAGGAGGGTAACTCCGTTCTTGACCACGGACGTGCAGGACTTTCTCAAGTCGATTGAAGCAGGCAAAAGGGGGAAGTGTCACGTCTCTGTCAAGTATCTCAATTACAGTTTTGAATGCCGAAAGTTGACGTTGACGCCTGATGCTGGGAGCTGTTCGTGAAGTTTTGAAGGCACAATGCTATCGAAGGGTAAACGCGGTGTACATTTATTTACATGTAGTATCCCGATGATAGCAAATCGCGATAAATAGAGTTGTTTTTATACTAGCCCGATTTAGACACAGTTTAGTACACAGCAAGAAAACTGCACTTCCGTTCCTTCAGGTCGTAGCCTCTTGAGACGGTTTGCTGTCAAGTGCTTTTTCTATAGATGCGAGAGAGTTCCATCATGAGTTGCAACTGAGGCAGCTTTGCCAAGGAGCAGAAGCAGCTTCACAGGGAGCCCACAGGCCATAGAGAAGAGGGCTTCTTCGAAGTCAACAGCGGTGTTCATTTCACGGAACTCAGGAGCCTCAACAGGCATGTAAGAGGCAAAATCGTCATCATCAAGCCAAACAGGAACAAGATCTAGGAAGTCATCAGGATACATAGCGGAGTCAGAGTAATAGTAAAAATGTCATCGGAGGTTGGTTTCAGTGTTGGTGGTGGGAACATGACTGATTGCATCTGTAGAGAGGGCAGCAACCAGACGATATAGGGCACAGTTGGGAGTAAGTCAGGTGAAGAGAATTCGGCCATAACGGGCAGCAAGAACAGGAACTCTTGATATGTGGCAGGGAGGGATGGTGTGGTAGATTCCAATTTGTATTCTCTACGACGCCCCATGCTGATACCCATACCTACAAATGTATTGATTTGTTCATAGAGCAGCTTTTATAGCAAGAAGAGCTGTACGATCATGACTCATTGCAACACCTGGTCCCAACCCTTTGTGCCAATCTGTTTGGGAATCTTCAATGCTGTACTGGAAGCTTTGCAATTCTTTGTGCAGGGTGGGGGAGAAGTTGAAGCCCTGGAAGAGCGTACTGTTGTCAGAAGAGCTTGTGAGACCCTGAAGACCATGACGGAATAGTACCATCAGCGAGGGCCCTTTGCTGAAGCTTGAGCTAGTTGGGGGGGGGAACCGGGCATGCTCTGTTGGAAGGGGTCAGCTGGAATGAATTTTGAAACCCATGAGAGCACACAAGGTTGGCATAATGATGGTGTACATGGCAATGTCATTGGAAGCCCCTGGAGTTTCCTGTAAGGTGGCTGTTGGGGGAAATCTTCAATGTTCTTGTACTGGAAACTTTGCAATTCTTTGTGCATGGTGAAAAGTTGAAACCCTGGAAGAAAATAATGTTGTCAGCAGTGCTGATGAGACACTGAAGCCCATTGGGAAACATGTTGCTGTAAAAACCAACAAGGCCAATGGAGACTTTAACTGCTTCGACGTCTTGGGCGGCTTCATAGCCAGGACGGCTTCAATTTTCTTCATCCAGGGTTTGATACCATGGGGTGTCATCCAGTGTCCAAGGAAGCCAACTTCTTTGATCCCAAATTCACATTTCTTGATGTTGAGTCGAAATCCATTAGCGGCAATGCGGCCAAGATTGATCTTCAACTGCTGATGTGTAGACCAAGGGCCTTTGCTCCAAGTGATAAAATCATCAACGAAAGTGAGTGTGGTTGGTAAATGATGGCACACGTTATCCACAACTTCCCGGGCGATCTCAGGCATGGTGGTAACAGCCATGGGACATTGGCGATATCGATAGAGACCAAAAGGGGCAGCTAAGGTAGGTGGTGAGGTCTCTGCCATTGTCACCCAGTTGGAAAGTGTAGGGTAATCCAAGAAAATGAGGAATGATAGACGGGAAAATGATGAATGATTCTCAATCGAATGATGAATCGAATTCATATGCCCCCTGGGTCGTCTCCGTTTCCAGTACTAGTTCAACTTGTCTACTAATACAGGATAATGGTGAATAGAATCGAATGAATCATGTGGCTTATATTTAGGGTTTAGGTTTTGCAA